TTCACTGAAAACAGTGAAATTTACTTCCGAGTAAATGTGGAAAGGATTGCATTGTCCATAAACATCTTCCTTACATAAACTGTGGTGCTTTTTGCACCTGTGTTGCACTTGCTTTGCAGCTGGATCCATACTCAATGCTTAGAATAGACCCATTAAAATCAGTGCGGACTTAACAGACTTGTTTCCCCAGAATTTCAGAATTCCCACTGAATTCAATGGGATTTGCTGTCATATAAATGGGTATTGCAGCCTAAGTTATTCATGACTATCTTAAAGTCCCATTGATTTCAATGGGTCTACTATAAACATAACTAAGGCTATGTACACACTGCTGTTTACTGCACACCCAGTACACTCCCAATGATGGTTTAGGAAGTTGTGTGTGCACATAGGACAGGATGGTGGCCACAATCTACACCTATCCTGTTGTTTCTTATGAAATACTGCATTCTGATGCATTTTCCCCCAAACCAGCTTCAATCCAAATGGAGAAAAAGAATGACTTAGGCTGTGTAGACATTACCAATTTAAAACACAGCTAAGATTGCAATCCTAACCCCATGTACTTGTGAGTCAGTATCATTGCATTCAACGAGGATTACTTATGACACTGGCTTTGGAATCTAGCACTCTCTTTTCCTTCCTTTACTATACATAACTCATTCGAAGCACCAAACTCCCACTTTGATTTAAACTTCTGCATCTATTTTATTGTACTCCCCTTCATGAATAAACATCAGCAATGACAAACTTCTTTGCCATCCGTTCTCCTCTCTACCTTCACCGCCTTCCAACCTTCATGCATCTCAGTACCTCCACTGCCTCTCGCTCTCCCAGCGCCAACCCTTCTTGGGAAAGATGCTTCTGTGGGCTCCTCCACACATGCACTTCAACAAGTTCAGCATGTGTGAAAGAGCCTTCTCAGAGTACACATCTGGATGGAGAGACTTTCCACATTTATTTACCGCATCTACCTACTTATTTAAAGAATGCGTACTCTGCTTTTCATTCTATGTCCCAAACGGCTGACAGAAAGATAAAGAGAGAGAATGTAAATTAATCAGAAAATAGAGCCATTAGAAATACTACAAAATAACCCCCCTTGCGTCCCTGCAGCCTAGCTAACTCACACGTCTGGCTCCCTCCAGTACTGAGTGCATCAATTGACTGGAAAATTAAGTCAGGGTTAGGGACCCAAGAGGAGTGGCCCCCTTGATGTTGCACACCTCCCATGTTCCCTGACCATTGGCCATGCTGGCTCTCTGGGCTGATGGAAACTGGCAACCAGCTACAACGGAATTAAGAGATTTACATGGAAGGTAGGCAGATGCAGAAGAGCTTCTACACCTTCAGTAGCCGTGTCGCAGAAGTGGGTCTTTCACCGGCGGGACAAGCCATCCGTGGGAACTCCCCTCTTTCCCTAGGAGACGACTTAAGGTGTAGGACCCCCGTCCTCTTCTCCCACCCCAGGTCAATGCGTGGCCATCCAGAGCCTGCACTACCGAAGTGTGAGCGAATGTCAAGTTCGGGGCAGAGACGAGATTCGTCGTGCAATGTGTGCAATGAAAATAATCTACATTAACGCGGACGGGAACAAAAGACGAGCGAGCCAGACGTTACATGAAAAGCAGCGGGTGAAACGGCGCAATGCCCTACCTTGGAAAGACAGAGGCGCGCGCTGGGCTAGCTGCGGGTCCATATCGGGCTGTCCGTTGGAGAAGCAGAAAGTGCCCGAACCCCAACCTGGAAGGGGCCCTAGACCATCGTCGGAGGGGGAAGCGGGGTGCGCTCAATCAGGGGGTGCGTTCAGTCAAGCCGCTGTTCAGAAAAGCGCCCCACCAGCCTCTTTCGCTGCCCAGCCGAGAGCCGCTCAGGGCGCCCCCCAAACCTGCTCCTCGCTGGTGGAGACGCGGCGTTGTTTTCCTCCAAAGCTTTCCAGAGGCGTTCAACGCGGCATTAGTACTCGAGAGCCAGGCGCTCTTCTCCACACCCCCTACTCCACCCCCACCCCGATGACGGCTGTTGGCGAGACCCTTGAGTGCCTAGCAGCCCCCAACGCGCCAGCAGAACAATCGGAACCAGATTGTTAGTGATGGAAGTGACAAGCCGGTCGCAGCTTTCGGAGAGGAGGACTGCGCGAATGTCTCGCATTTCTTTGGGAAATCTTTTGCTTTGCAGAACCCAAACATAAGCAAACACACACACGCGGATCAGGGGTAACATAGGAACAATAGCTCCGGGTGAGATCGCCCCATCGTGTAAAACGAGACCACTCCAATGTGGTCAAGCAATCTGGCCATAGGGGAAGTCCGGTAGGCTGCAATCCTATGCACGTTTACCTACGAGTAAGCACCGCGGAATGCAGTGGGGACTTGATTCCGAGTAAACGTGCCCGAGACGGAGTTTTACACAACTGCCACCCCATCTCCATTTACATGGTAGGAGTGACTAGGACCAAATGAACTAAGCGAGGCTGATTTCCGTGTTATGCATGCACACGTTCTCTTAAATTGTGGATCTAGTTATTAACATGCATGCAGTTCTTCCCCCAAAAAAGTAAAATGGGCGTGGGGGGGAGTAGGCAGGTGGGTTGGAAGCCCAAGGGAAGAGATTTCCCCTTCACAGGTCACTCGAGAGTGGGGCGTGAAGGGTTTTGGTTAGACATAGCTCTGTGAGCAAGCAAGGTGTTTGTGCAGCCTGACAGATCGTGGCCGGCTGCCTCGGTACACTCGGTATTTGATGACATACTCAAACATCACGGGGACTTAAGTGAGCGCGAAGGGTCGCATACGCTGAGAATGACCTCGAGGACCCTTACAGATTTAGCCGCAAAGCATATTTACAGAGGCTGAGATAACAGCCCTTTCGATAAACAGAATTTTCCATGGATTTACTGTGAGCGGGGTTGGAAGTTCTCTTAGCAAGAGGCTATGCCCTCTCCAAAATCCTCCGAAGAATATACAGCTGGGGGAAGGGGTGTGTGTGTGTGGCCAAGGAACACATTTACGACATGCATTTGCAATAGTTTAATACACAATCAGTTTCCCGCGGTTGTTATAACTCCAGTTGCACCTAAATGCCTTGCTTTTGGAAAGGGGCCAGCAGTTTAACAGTGTAATAATTACCGGATTTATTGAGCAGGTTACTGCGTGTAGAAGCGCAGCCGAATATGACCTAAACTCCGGCGAATGTGAACGCCAAGGCTCAAAGTCAAACAGAGGCAATGGACGTAAAACGACGTTCTATCGCCCCCGGGATCGGGACAACTTTCACGGAGCAATTTCAGCATGCTGGACAGCTCCTTGCCTTCTCGCTTGGAAGGTGCCCCAAAAGGACAGTTCCTCAAGGATTTTAGCAGGATGTATCTTTCAAAGTCTTTATCTTGCTCGTCATTATTGTTTACAGGGGACAAACTAGGGTTTCCCTGTGAGTTGTTTCCACATAAATACGAGCCTATTTTTTTTCTTTAGGGTTGATAAACTTGGATCTCATCTCCCTTTCCTCCTCCCTCACACCATCTGTATCCAAAGGTGGGGGATAGAGTAGTCCTATTAGTTTGTGATCCTCAAAACTGTGAGTCTTGTAGCACCTTAAAGACTAACAAATTTTATTATGGCATAAGCATTTGTCGTTTAGAGGCCCCTTCATCAGATCAGTACTAGTTCTGGAAAGCATATTCCTTTTCGAATGCTCCAAGCCCTTCTTAACTTCAGAAGCTCTATCTATAAATATTTGTCTATGGGAAAAGGATAAATAAGTTAATTTGGTCAGACATGCTGAATTAAGGATCAGGCAGTGTTTGCAGTTTACCCTCTCAGGACATGTGTGTGTGTGTGTGTGTGTGTGTGTGTGTGTGTGGGAGAGAGAGAGAGAGAGAGAGAGAGAGAGAGGTAATCAACAGGAACAGTCATTTCAGCATCCCCAGGAATCATCTAAGTACCTGGTGTACATGCTTGAGATACTTTAAGAGAAATTACTCACCAATTTTGTCCCATTGTGCTCAAAATCAGTGCAGCCATTTCCCATCCTTTCAATGTTGGCATAAAGGGAGTGAAAATTCTACTCTGCATTAATGGTTTTATCAGAAATGGAGAGAGAATGGTAGTTCATTTAGATAACTTCATACTGGATACTCAGATCATTTGGTGTGTGGCACTGGGTGCCAGAATGGTTAAGAATTGCTTTGATGGTTGGAGGGTTATAGGAGTGCACTAGTAATTTGAGATAACCAGTACTTTCAAATATCATGATTGAGATGCTTAGCATTCCTTTCCCCTTCCACTCTCTCGGCATATTTATAGCTGTGTATGTGTGTACACACACACACACACACACACACACAAACACACCAATTAGTCATGATTGGAAAATTGGTACTGTGGACTTTCACTGGAAATGCTATTCTTTTTCTTGAAGTACCATTACATTTCCTTTATTCTTATTTCTTTCTTTGCTTTCCATCTCTGTTACCATATACAATTTCTCCTTTATTTTCCACAAAGCAGAGCACTTTAATGGGCAGTAATTATGGTGGTTATTAAATCAGATTTTTGTTGTTGTTGAAGAAGAATGCTTTCTTAATGCATGGGGAGAGGTGTGTTCTAGACCCTAATAACCTGGGAAAACATAGTTAAGACTGAAAGAGGAAGTATCAAGGATACTTAGCATGCAAAAACCTCACCTCATAAACCAAATATAGCCTGTGGATCAGCTGGGGAGGGGATATAATAACTTAAATGGGAAGATCCATTGACAACTTTGAAGCACTAACAATGAATATTTCCCTTTACATTCATACCTCTAGCCTTTTTCTCTTTGGACACCACTGCATATAGCCTTTAATGAAAAATCAGTACCGTTTCTTTTTAAATGGTTTACTGAAATAAAGGCTCTGCTCTCTTCCTAGAATACTGGTTGTTTGCACAGTGCAAGGATTAAAAAGGCTTACCTGCCCATGCTTGTTGATCCCTTTCAAGGAAGGGGCAATGTTGATTTATAGAGCATGCATAGCTCAGTTGGTTGAAGCACGGTACTGATAATGCCAAGGTTGCAGGTTCGATCCTTGTATAGTACAACTGCATATTCCTGCACTGCAGAGGGTTGGACTAGATGATCCTCAGGGTCTCTTTCAACTCTACAATTCTATGGTTATATCACTTGGGGATGTCAGACTAAGTGAAGGCCTAGTGTGGAAGGTTGATGCTAATTACAGATGAATTGCACTGGGTCTGGTGGAATAGTAGAATATTGGTCAGCAGAATATTGGTCACTCACCACCCCTATTAGTAAGTGGGTATACCATGTGCTGGGGTGGGGTGGGAAGATAGCAGATATAAAATGGGGGAGCTTTTAGGTGCACAGAAATAAATTTCTTAAGCCTAATACATTATTCAAGTGCATTCTCAGATAGGAACGGACAAATCTGTCAATTGCAGTTCTCTTAGTTTCTCATTTTCCCCCAGTCCTTAATTCAGTTGTCCACATTTTCAAATCAGCTTGCAATTTTCCTCATGAAGCATTTGGTGCAAATTTCTCTGAAGAAAGACATTTTTGTATGCAGTTTTGCATAATTTACACATTCATGCAAGCAATTCCCCCCAATATACACTGGACGCTTGGGTTGTGAACATGATCTGTGTGGGAGGCACGTTCGCAACCCGCAGCATTTGCAACCTGCAGCACCGCGTCTACACCCGCACATGCGCGGGTCGCAATTTGGCACTTCTGCACATGCGCAAAGTGCAATTTAGTGCTTATGTGCATGCGTGAGCGCGAGTGCCAAAACCCAGAAGTAACCCGTTCTGGTACTTCCGGGTTCTGTGTAGTGCGCAACCTGAAAACACGCAACCTGAAGCATCTGTAACCTGAGGTATGACTGTAATGTGTTTTTGAATGTTATTTTCAACAATAAATGCATTTTATGCACAATTTATCTTGACATATGCATTTGTGTACACATTGCTTGGCTGGAGAACTGCATGGCAAAATTTGAAGAAGTGCAAATTTCGATTGGTGCTTGTGTTTCATTTCACTGTTTGCATTTTTGTTTCCAAAAGTGCAAATTTGGTAGATCTACCTTGAAATGCAAACTGAATATCATCACCCCACCCCCATGTATCCCTACTCTCAGACACAACCAACTCTGCTGCAAAAGAACCTTCATTTGTGTAAAACATGTCATACCGGCAACAGATTCCTCCCATCTTATCATCCATTGCATTACAGACCACCCCACCATGCTGGGTGAATCAGTAGTGCTTTGCCAGTTCTCATTTAAATGGCTGGCACTGGAATTGCATTGAAAGCCCAAAGAAATGGAATAAAATATGTCTTTCAAAATAGATGGAAGGATACCAGAGAAAACACTAGAATGCCATTGTTTTGGCAGCAACATTGCATGGATTTTCCACAGTACCTAAGTATGTGGGAAATGTCACTTCTGGTGCAAATGACTAGAGTGGAGATAAAACGACAGAGATTTATCATACAAGCAGCTGTGGAAATGAAAGTAACTTACATACGAAAAGCAAGACTATTTAAAAAGTCTGGAAAATGGCCAATGTAAAGTAGGGACACATCCACACCAAAGTGTGTACCGGCAAAAGCCTTGACAGAATAGAACGGGGTGGCATTGCAAAAGAAATCAGATTCATTATGGAAATGAGAACAAGACACATGCTGAACAGAATTCACGTTCATCAAGTAGAAATCATAATGTAAAAAAACAAACAAACCATCAGCAGCATGACAGTTTAATAGCTGAGCATGAGCAAGCAATACTCCTTTATTTATTTATCTTGTCCCTCCAAAGGGAGAGGATCCCTACAGAGTATGAAATACATCATCAAGTTTGATATAGGTCAATACTGTTCAGACAAATGTCTGGGAAGTGTGACGATCATTACATAAACTGCTCTCATAATGGAGAGATTCCTGTATAATAGAGTGTTCAAGGGAATTTTTTTGTTTCTGTTTTCAACAAGGTGTCTAAACTGGTGAGTATCATTTTCTAGAATGTTTTCAAGATAGCATTTTTCAGTGTAACAGTCTGCTTTCTTTCATATCAATTTACAAAGCTCTCCTTGGACATGGTGTATATTGGTTTCAAATGCATGGAATAGTGTATCATGACAGGAATCCTATAGCCTGTGGACAGATGTGTGTTTTAGACAACAGCTGTAGCTGGAGATAGCTGAGAAGTGAAAACACATTCACAGTCCAATACAATACTTAGAAGCCAGTCCCATTCAGTTCCATGGGACTTAATCCCAGGTAAGTAGATGATTGCAGCTCTAAGTCATGACCATCCATGCTGGGTCCATTATTTACTACTGCTGCCTCCTCTCACTCTGGGGTACTCTGTTATATTTCACCAGTCAGAGCCAGCAGAAGTCAGCAGATGCAGTAGTGTACAGGAGGAGGCAGCTGTGGTACTGATCAATGGAGCCACTGGTAGGACTAATATCAAGTATACGGTAGCCTCTGACTACAGTGAACGGTACAGTGAACTGTGTTTTATCAATATTTTTCATTACAGTACACACACACACACACACACACACACACTGCTTAGAAAGTTTTGCAATTAAGCAACTGCTAAATCTTTCGAAATAAAATAAACAGCCCACATGGACTACTTTGAACGAAGCTTATCATATCTTGAGCAGTTTTATGTCTCCGTCTGAATCCAAGTCTATTTTTTTTTCTTTTCAGTTTGAAAAATAGCATTTCACACACATTCTTTTTTAAAAAAATCAATCTTCTTTAATATGATTATTACAGAAATGATTTGAAATGCCCTGAAGATATCTAATGGCTTTGCAAATTCCCCACCTTTATTGAAATCTAGCCTGTTTCTTTCCAGAAGAGCAGAAATCTATCTCAAACAGGAGTTTCACAACTCATTTCCCCCCTATCTCCTTTTCGCTATCCACAGTTTTGTGTAATTAGGTTGCATTAAAAGTAAATTGCTGATGCAGGTAACCCTTCAGGCATAAGATATATGCAACCTTTCTGGTATTGCTTGATGAAACTGTCTCTAAAATGCTACCTAAATTCTGAACTCCCCCTCCAGCAATACATCACCTGAATTACTTTACAAAGCTAGGAAGGGCCTCCCTTGAAGAGGCTGGCAACAGCTTACAGGCTCCAAAATTGGGTAAGGGAACTCTGAAGGGAATTGGTAAACAGAAATAAGCTATGGAACACTTAAAACACCAGATGGCTTGAATATGCCAATGTGGTGGACATGCATGTGCCAGTCTTTAATACGGGTGGTGGTTGTGATTGTCTACTGTATTTAATGGTTGTTGTTGTTTTTTAATTCTAGGCAATTTTGGGCTTTTATTGAAATGATTATATATTTATTAGCTGTTTTGTTAATTATTATGATTAAGAGGCAGGATACAAATATACAAAACAAAGAACCCAATCAACCCCGGACCTGAGCATTCACAAAAAGTCATAGCCAGCCTTGTTTATACTCTACATTTCAACCTGGGAATGGATTCTCATGGCAATCTATATAAATACTGTAAAATAAACGCCACCAGAAGATCATGGAAGCATAATGTGAAACGTGACAAAACGATGACCCTGTGTTGCCTAATTATGTGCAGACAGGATATTGAGTGATTGTCACTGAAAAGCCATAAAGACTCGAGCATGCTTATGGCACATTTTTCATTATATTGTAGAAAGATAATGAAAGTGAAACCCTATACATTAGCGGTTCTCAACCTGTGGTTCCCCAGATGTTGTTGGACTACAACTCCCATCATCCCTGACCACTGCTCATGCTGGCTAGGAATGATGGGAGTTGTAGTCCAACAACATATGGGGACCCACAGGTTGAGAAACACTGTTATACATGTCTACCTGATTTCAGTAGCATAAATCCTAATTGATTTCGTTCAGCTCACTCCCAGGTAAGGTAAGGAGGCACAGGGTTGCAGCCTGAGACATAGACCCAGTTAAGCCTTTCTCCATTCTGCCAAGTTATCAGAACAAGTCATACTGTGCAACATGCCATGAACCAGAGATAGGATTTGGAAATTCCCAATGTGGGAAAGGAAGTTTCCATTGTCTACACTGCTGCAAAATTCAAAGAAGGACTTGTGTCTATGTAAAATGGCCGGGGGGGGGGGGCACTGCAAACTTATGGTACAGATACTAGAGTTGGACCAAAACCCCATCACTTCTGACCATTTGCCATCCTGCCAGGGGCTGCCTAGCAACATCTGGAAACCACAGCCTGTGCATCGTTTCATCCTAATTCCCTTTTGACGTTGCAGAGGAAGTGAGAAAAAATTGCAGTTAAAAACCTTTTAACTAGATATTATCACTTCATAATCAGCTTACTAATTAAATGTAGATTTGTGCATATTAGCAAACCCCCTTTGTATAAGTGTATTGGGAAGGGGGTTCTTCAGATTTAAGGCAGGCCAGCATTTATTGATGATAAGGGGGCGGGGACCCTGCTCATTGTTAGAAGGAAAGGTCATGAGTGGCTTTTAGAAAAATTATTGTCTTTTTAATTTGTGCTGTTGGGCTGTTGACCCATATTTCATATACTGAATATGCGAAGCTTTCTGCCCTGTGTTTAACACCAATACAAAAAGGTCATTTTAAATATTTTCCTTTGTGTTCTATAAGTGTAACATATCAGAACAAAAAAGCTGTGCAAAAAAGTAGTGCATTCTTAATTTGGTGAGAATTGAAGCAGGACAGGTTTTGTGCATCACTGACTTGGGATCCACCTGCAGTCAGCATGTGGCCCTCTAGAGCTTACTCAGGAGATAATGTGGCCCTTGATTGAATAAATGTTACCAAATGTCTTAAGGAGGTAGCCTAGATGTAAAGACAGAATTCCAATGTTAGCTTTGCAACAATATCTATACCAGTATTTACAGAGATCCCATGGCAGAAGGACCTCTTGCAGGTCAGTTGGTGAGATCAAGCTGGTAAAGGCCAGTCTAAGCTGGCAAAGTCATGGGAGGCCAAGTTAGGTCTGTTCAAAAGCTTTCTTAAGGGCAGAAGAAAAGAGCCCTTGGACAGCTCCAATATGAGCCTTATTGTCTCCTAC